GCAAAACTGTCAAAAAAACTTTCCCTTTGAAACTGGCAGCGAGATAAGGAAGTATGCTTTTACTACAGCTGTTCGATATTGTTACATAAAACCTATGCACAGTGACGAAAGGAGGAGAAATAACATATACAAGAAGTGGAAAGAAGAACCAAAACTTCATCAATCACAGATGATACGAGTTCATAGAAAAATTACAGATAAACTATTAGAATTAATTAGAGTTTTACTAAGGTTGGATACAAAAATCAGTATTAAAGCATCATTATACAATACTATATAGTAGCCACAGTCAGAAAATAAAACATTTTTTAAATCATTGAAAAAGGCCTTATAAGCTGGTCCCAAATGCCCCCATGTCCTGGTAGCATGCCTTAATGGAATACCCTCCCCTTGCGTGGGCTGCCGTTAGTAACTCATTTCTAATGGATAGAAAGAATATGGCAGAAAGCGTGCAATGTCACTTCTGATATTAGGTTATTAAAAGACTATGGCTTCCATCTTGTGTGCTCTGTCTCCTTCTCCCTCAGCTCCCCCCGCTCCCGGGGAAGCTGCCATGTCATAAGGCAGCCCTGTGAGTCTCCTCCACAAGTCAAACCTCCGTGTGAGACCACAGCCCTAGCCGTGAACTTAACTGCAATCTGATGAAAGACCTTAGGCTGGTGCCTCCCAGCTCAGCGCCTGACCCACAAAAACTGGAGGTGGAAAACGTTTGTTGTTTTAGACACTAAGTTTGGGGGGGGATTCGTAACATGCGAATAGATAACTATTACAACCACCACTGACAATACTTCAAAATGTGTCAAGTAACTAGAAATAAATCTAACCAGAAATGTGCAAAACTCAGGGGGGAATTCTAAAACTTAATCGGGGTGGGCGGAGGTAGACTACAGCAGGTAGTAACAGTCCCACATGTATTTGGCTGCCTGGCTGCTGACCGAGGTGGCATATCTGGGCGTTATGGAAAGAGCTGACTTTTCGGTGAGTGGTGCTAGGACAGGTGGGTATCCCCGTGGGAAAAACAAAATCTGACCCTGGCACATGCTGTTCACTTGCAGGCAAATGACAGATCTCACCGTGAAAAGCTGTAAAACTTTCGGCCAACAATATAGAAAGGTGTCTTCCTAACTTTGAAGCAGGGGGGGGTTTCTTAAACACAAAATCACTAGCTGTAAAGAAAAAGTTAAATCAATGAGAGCAAATTAAACTGAAGAATTTCTGTTTACCCAAACATCATGGGGAAAAAAGTGGGAAAAAAAACCCTCAAATCACTGAAGGGGAGAAAATATTTACAGTAATATAACTGACAAGAGAGTAGTATCCAGAATATGTAAATATCTGCTACAAATCAGCAAAAAAAAAAAAGATGAGAAGAAAGCCTGGGATGAGCACTTGCGTGTGGCCCTGTATCTAGAAGAAACTGCCAGAGGCAGCAGAGGGTGGTGGGGACAGTGGGACAGGTGAGCAGACACCTCAATAGAAGGTCATTATCAAGGTTGCTGTTGAAGGCAGGGTTCTCCAAGACCTCTGAGGAGCTCCAGAGTTGTTGCTATGAAGGTCGGAAAGCTGGAGAATCTACCTTCCCATCAGCCAACCCTCCACAACGTTGGAGAAGACCCCAGGGTAGCATAGGGAAAGCCAGGCTCTCTGACCCTGGAAACCTGGCTTTCCACCACGTGGTGGCTGAAATCAGAGTGACACTGGCACGAGAGGCATCTGTCACAAGAAGAAACAACCCAAAAGAAAACAGGCAAAAGACGTGAATAGGCACTTTCAAAAATATATAAATAAAAGAGGAAATCCAGCTGGCCAATACAAACACACACAGAGTGGCTCTATCTCACCAATTGCCTTGGAAACGCAACTTGCAAATGCAGCAATGAGGTACCGCTGCACACTCAGCAGGTCACCAAAAGTTAGCAGTGCCCGGTGCAGAACCAGGGAGTCACGGGAACAGTCACCCACAGGGCGGTGGGACTCCAACTTCGTCTAACTGCTTCAGAAAACTGGCAACATCCATAAAGTTGAAGCTGCCTACGACCTGTAGCCCAGAAATTCTGCTCCCAGATATGTAGCTTGGAGAAAACCACATATGTACGCACCAAATCTTACATATAAGAATGTCCCTGGAGCACTGCTTCCGTGGCGGCCCAGCCTGCAGAATGTCCTGGATGCCCATCATGGGACAGTGGGCCCGCAGCTTGCAGCATTGTCCTTACTGGGACAGCACAGAGCAGTGGACACAGATACACGGTATCGGCATGCGACAACTCAGATGGCTCCAGCAAGCGGAACTGTGAGCTGGAAGAAGGCAGGTTCTGTTTACAGTGTACCATCTCCCCAAACAGGCAAAACCAGAACTCTGTTGTGCAGCCATGCAGATTCGGGTGGTGAAACTGTCAAAAGTGAGAAAGTGGTTCCTCTAAACATCGGGATGTTCCGCTCTCCAGTGCAGGGAGGTGTGGAATGGAGGGTGGGCGCCCAGGGGCTTCTGGGGGGCGGTGAGGTGGGGGTTTGCTTTATAATTGCCATTGAACTGTGTGTATAGCCTGCATGTTCTCTATGGTTCACACTTTTTTAATGTTTAAAGTAAACAATTAAATAAAACTGACACGCTTGCCACTTGTCCTTCCTTCCTGAGCTCCCCACCCAAGTTAGAGACAGGCCACCCCAACTACCCAGGACCCCAAGAGTCAGCTTCGACGACTCCCCGCTCCACCCTGATGCCCAGTCAGGCACTCCGCCCCGTGGAGGGTCCACCTCCCAGCACCTCTCAGAGCCGGGCCCCTCCCTCCCTCCCTCCCTTCTTAGCCTGCTGGCCTCTCTCTTGCCCCTCCCACTGCTATCCTGCCCACCAAGCCCACTAAACTTGCTCTCTCTCTCTCTCTCTCTCCTTCACGCCCCAACCCCAAGCCTCTGCCCCAAATACTTCTCACCTTCCCCATTCCCCTGTCCCACCCTATTCAACATGAGGTCTCAGCTAGAAGTCCCTTCGTATAAGAAACCTTCCTGTCGGGTGGGGTTACACCCCCCACCCTGACCTAACACCCCCCACCCCGACCTAACACCCCCCACCCCGACCTAACACCCCCTGCATAAGGAAATGCCCAACCCATAGGCTTCTGGCTCTGGCTCCAGCTCCGGCTCCGGCTCCGGCTCCGGCTTCGGCTCTGGTGAGGTTTGTGTTTCTGCACCCCAGGTGCCTGGGCTGTGGGAATAGAGCCAGGACCTGTCTGAGACCAGAGGCTCCCACTGTTGGGGACCTACTGGAAGTAAGGTCTGAGGTGCCTCAAGCAAAGCTTCCCCCCAAACCAGGAAGCCTGAGGAGGGACAGGGCGGAAGCCAGCGTAAGAGACTCCATGGGCTTGAACATGAGGACCTTGAACAGACGCAGGGACCAGGGGGCGCTGAAGCTGAGCCGCAGGCCCTCTCCCCAGATTCCTTCCAGGAGGAACCTGAGCCTCCCAGACTGTCATTTAACACAAGAGCCTCCTCCACAGATGACAAGCTGAGTGTCCTGCCCATGCAGAGGGTGGAGGGTGTTAGAGCCTAATGTGATAAAAAAATTAACAATGACACATGGCAGTCGTGCACCCAAGTTCGTTCGCACACATCACACTGTGCTTTCACTGCCTGGTCCCTGAAGAAACCGTAAAGCAGCAACTCTACTGCACCTGCTGTGTCTCGTCCACCAGCAGCTTGACCTGCTCCATGTACCCAAGGCTCCCTCCTGCACGAAGCCACTGGCAAAGACGCCTCGGTCCGCTTCCGGACTCTCTTTTCTGTGCCTTTGGTCAGTCTGTTTATCCCTGTGACAAATTTCTAAACATACAGGGGGGTTTCATTATATTTTTGTTATTACTGCCTAACTTTATTGCACTGAGGTAAAAAAAAAAAAGTGCACTCTGTACAGTATCTATTGTTGAACTTTTGTGGGGCTTGCTTTCAAAGCTAGCATGCAATTAATTTTTAAAAAATGGTCCGTAAGTGCTTGAGAACAATCTGGCTGACACAGGATTCAATTACTGTCCATTAGATCAAGCTCTGTACTAACGCATGTTATGCAATCCTTCTATCCACGGTCCAACTGTTTCAGCTTTGCTCTCAGTCATTGGGATGCACTTGAAATATCCCACGTTGACGGCAGATTGGTCGGTTTCTCTTTATTCGATCATTTTTAAGTTAGTTTTATTGAAGTACATTTACACATAATACAATTCACTCATCCCTGCCCCCACATCCGGTGGAGCATTTCCTGGAAGTGGTTGCATCCCAGAGCCTGGACCCCAATGGGGCTCAGGGCCACAGGCCTGGAAACATTTTCTGCAACCACCAAACCTGTGTCCCCATGGCCACATCCTCTGTTGAGTAGCCCTTGGCAGGGTCTAAGCGGCCAGGCCCAGACTGCGGGTGAAAAGGGAGGTCCCAGGCAAGACCCTGCTTCACTGGGCTGCCCATCTGGCCTGGCTCACTGCTCCCTGGAGCCATGCAGGAGAGAGGCTGGAAGTTTCCATGACCTCTTAGTGCCCTAATTAGAATAAGAACCACCCCAAGGCCTGGGGAGCCTTGTACAAGGCTAGGCTAAACCTAAACCGGGGGACTCAAATGGGGGCTCCCATCACCCCAATAGTGAGGGTGCACTCTGCTTGGAGTCAGATTGGGAGAGACACTTTCTCTGGGGGGCTCCTATGGAAGAAGCGGTAAATGAGCCATAAGGTATCTACATGGAGCAGGGGGCTGGGGGATAGAAGGGTGGGGGGCACATGGCAAGGGCACGGAGTCCGCACTGTGTGGGGAACACCCCTGAAATAACAAAAGGCCAGCTAGAGTGGAACACAGGCCACTCTGTGGAGAGCAGGAGGAGGTGGCCAGGCTGAGGGGCAGCAGCAGGTGCCCAGGGAGCAGCTGGGACTGTGACGACTAGCAGACCTGGGGCTGGGGCTTAGACGGGCTGGCGTCAGAGACTCAGCTGACACTGTTAATAAAAATAGCAAACACACTAATGGGAACAACCATAACCATTTATTGAGCATTTACTCTATGCCAAACCTCCTTCTATGGATTATTTTATTTAACCTTCAAAGTAACTCCTGCTGTTGTCCCTAGGTACAAGTGGGGAAACTAAGGTACAAAGAGGGTGAGTGGCTCGTCCATGGCCACTTAGTCAGCAAGTGGCAGAGCTGGCCTTTGAGCCAAGGCAGCCTGGCTCTGGAGCCTATGCCACTCAAAGTCGTTACAGTTTGTCTGGTGGCCTGGAGCCTGTCCCACTCACTGCTCTAGGGCTGGGCAGGCCCAGAGCACAGGATCCCGAGAGCCAGCACAGGCAGCTGTGTTGGGTAAAGAGACAGATGGCTGTGTGAACAGTGCGGACATTCCTCCTCCTGGTCACTCAGCAGGGGCAGCCCCTGGAGGCAGGACCTCGCCCTCTGGTGTGTCCACAGACATGTGATGTCTCTTCACAAACTGGTGATCTCAGCGTTTCCAGACACCGTGCAGTTTTGGGGCCACTAGCTTCTGAGCACATGCCAACAGCGCCCCCTGGTGTGCAGCCTGGGAAAGGCTCTAGTTTCAAGAGTTTCCCACTTGCTCTGACAGACGGGTCAAGGGCAGTGTTGATTCTCTGCAACTGTGGCCAGAGCTTGGATTTAGAACCCACACCTTCACACTTACCAAGGGAAATTCAGCTCTACCCTATCGTTAAGTAGCTGGGTCACTGAGGTCCTGCTGGCTCAGGCGTAGGGGAAAGAGACATTCCCCTCCCACCCTCTGGAAGCCCTGTGGCCCCGGCTGCGGTCCAAATGGCCTAGGGAGACTTGAGACCACTGGAGGGAGGAGCCTCCGGGAAGGACCAGACTTTCTGACCTTTGAGAAGGTCATGGCATTGGGGTCATCATAATTTGGGGGGGGGGGGTGGTAAAGGAAAAGAGGCCTCAGGCATAAGCTGGTGAGGTCTCAGACAGTGGATGGGTCCCTAAGTTCTGGGCCAGGGGCCAGGATGTGGGCAGAAGGAAGGGGCAGGGCCCAGCAGCAGGAGGAATTCATGGGGCCCGCTATGGCCCTCTTCTTCCCTAGTCTCATTCAGTCTTCACAAAGCTTAGGCTAGGCAGGACCAGAGCCATCTGACTCATGTCGATGTGCAAACTGACAGTCAGTGGGAAATGACAGGCCTGGAGTCCTACGGGAATCCTCAGAGCCACGCCTCGAAACATGGCCTCCTGACTCCAGGGCCAGAGCTCTGTGCATAGGCCTGGCCAGCTGGCCCCGAGCACTGGGGCCGAGTTTGCTGCCCCCTGGTGGGGTTGGACCTGACCCAGAGTAGAATACCAAGGGCATTCTGGGCATTTCCCTCTGGACCTGGGGAGGGCATGGTGCTGAAACGCCTCCCTAGAGGGCACGATGCCCCTGGTGGGCAGCAGCGGGCCTGCCACCTTCTCTGGTGGAAGCCAGTACCTCCGGGTGCAGGCAACCAGAGAGGCTGGGGGTTCCGAGCGAAGAGGTCCAGGCTACTGTATCATCTGGGAGGAGCTGAAGGCCTCCATCTTCGCCTCTGCTGCCGCCTCCGCCTCAGAACGGCACCTCTGGAAGCAGAACCACAGGAAGAGGAAGAAACCTACGAGGGAAAGGCTGGTCTGTGAGGACACCGTGGGAGCATCCTGGGGCCTCTCCCAGGAACCAGGGACCTCCTTGTCGGGGAGAGAGGCCCAAGAGTAATTCTCAGAAAGCCCTAGTGTTGGAGGCTGAGGGGTGGGGCACAGAGGAAGGAGGGCCCGGACACCACAACCCAGAGGGTGCAGATAACAAGGCAACACCCCTTCCTCTTATGCAGATTACAAGTCCAAGTCCCTTCCTCCTGGAGGAGGTAGCCCCCTCCCAGCTGGTCAGGGGGCTAGATGTCAGCTCCTGACCCCACCCCTCCACCTGAGCCTTTCAGCAGTAAACACCTGCCAGGTATGCAGGACCTCCCAGGGCTGCCTCCAGGCCCCCCACGGGACCCACCGTAGAGTGAGTTGAAGATGGTGAAGAGGAAGAGCTGGGGCAGCAGAAAGATGCTAAAGGAGAAGAAGGCCAAGGTCCAGGTGGTGCCCAGCAGCATGGTGAGGCCCAGCACGGTGATTGTGTCCTTGCAGGCCCGGGTGCCTGGCGCCTTCTCTTGAGCCTTCAGTCTGCGTAGGACCCGCAGCGCCCAGACCAGCACCACCAGGTTGAAAAGGCACGTGAGGCCACCGTAGCCTATGACCAGGGCCCCATGCACCCCAGGGCTCTGCACCCAGCATCTGTAGGGGAGGAGCAAAGCATCAGGGTCAGTGCGACTCTCAGGCTGGGCAAAACTGTGGGCTCCTGGGCCTGGGGACTGCCTCTTGAACTGGTTTTGTTCCCTGGCTCAGACATCTTGCTTCTTTCCTGACTGTAAACGAGTTGAAGTCCTGGGCCCAGCTTTCCGGCCAGGCCACCACAATAAGACCCACTTGCCCCGCATCGGCAGCCCCCACAAGCCTTCTTTCCACCCCTCTGACTCCCCAAGACATCTTAGCGACAGGTGCTGCCTTTTACCCCGGCAGACGCTGTGTCACATACTTTCAGCAGATTAGTTCGTTCAGTCCCCATGATGACCCTGTGAGGCTGGTACGTGATCCTCCCCATCCTACAGGTGAGCAAACCGAGGCCCTGGCTTAGGAACACACCCTAGTAAGGGGCAAAGGTGGGACCTGAAGCCCCATGGTCTGAGCCCAGAGCCTGAGCCCCTAACTGTCACAATCACCTGCTCGGGCTGCTGCCACTGCAGTCACAAGGGTCCTTGAACATTATTTGGGGGGCTTCATCCACATTCACGAGTGTGACCATGGAACATCCCTTTTCACCGCCAGATAACATTGCATTTATCAACTCAGGGTCTGGTCAGTGGACACGGGAGTTAGTTATTTTCAGGCGTTTTTTACATTGTGGTTTGTGTTTAGGAATACCTGGGTATGTCACCTTACACCTGTTAGAATGGCTACCGTCTAAAAGACAGGAAGTAGCCGGCATTAGTGAGGATGAGGAGAAGGGAAAACCCTCCCGCCCTGCCCGTGGGCTGTAAGCTGGAGCAGCCACTGTGGGAAACAGTACGGAGCTTCCTCAAGAAATTGCAACTAGAACTACCGTGTGACCCAGCTATTCCACTTCAGGGTATTTATCCAGAAAGAAACAATGAAAACAGTGGCTGGAAAAGACCTCCATGTCCACTGCAGCGTCATTTAAAACAGCCATGGTGTGAAAAGAGCTGAGGTGTCCATCAGTGGACGAATGGATAAAGGATGTATGGTATGCATTTGACCCTTGACCGGCGTGGGGGTGGGGGCGCTGACCCCCCGCACAGTCAAAAATCCACGTATAACTTTTGAGTCCCCCCAAACTTAACTACTCATAGCCGACCTTTCACCCAAAGTCTTACTGATAATGGTCGATTAACACATAATTTTTTATGTTCTATGATTACATACTGTGTTCTTACAATAAAGTAAGTATACGAAAGACAACGTATTCTTACAGTATTTATTGAAAAACTCTGTCTCTGAGTGCGATTGAAACCCATGTCGTTCAAGGGCCAAGTGTGCGCATATACAATGGAATACGACTTCACCATACAAAGGAATGAAGTCTTGCCCTTGGTGGCACCGTGGACAGGCCTGGGGGGCGCTATGGAGCACTGGGCCAAGTAAAATAAGTCAGAGGAAGACAAAAACTGTATGACTGTACTTACATGTGGAATCTCCAGAAATAAAAGTACAAATAAAAATAAGCTCTTAGATACAGGGACAGATTGGAGGTTGCCAGAGGCAGGGGGTGACGATGGGTGAAAGAAATGGGCAAGGAAGCTCAAAAGGTACCAACTTGGAGTCACAAGGTAGTTAACTCGTGCCGGCAAATGCACAGCACAGTGCCCACCGGGAGTGACCTGCCTGCGTGTTTCAAAGTTGCTGAGAGAACGGATCTTAAAAGTGCTCATCCCAGGAAGAAAAAATCTGCAGCTCTGTGTGGTGACGGATATGAACTAGAATTACTGTGGGGATCATTTTGCAATAGAGACAAATATGGAATCGTTACACTGTATAGCTAAAGCTAATCCGATGTGATATGTCAATTATATCTCGATTGAAAAAATGGCATTAAACTGTAAAAATAATGGAAGGAACACATAGGTACGTGGGAACGGTCTTCAAATGCAGGAGAGTGAAAGCCACAAGCCCAGGGTAAGAGTGGGGGGGGAGGCGAGGGAGGCTCCAGAGAAGCCAGTTCTGAGGGTGAGTTCTCTACCAGCCCAGCTTAATGTGCTTCCTGTCCCGTAGAAATGTCACCTGAGTCCTTCTATCCATGTCACGTGTTGTATCATAAAACACAGGTTTAGAGAGTCACACGTCCCCTAAACAACCAGCCCAACCCTCACGAGGGGAAGAATCAGCCCCACTCAGCCCAGGGCGCTCACTTTGGGGGGCCAAGGGGGGCCGTGGTTGGGGGCCAGCTCTGCCATTGACCGGCTGGGTCTTCTTGGGCAAGGTTCTTAAGCTGCCTGTGCCTCAGTTTCCCCTACCGTAAACAAGGGCTAGCATGAGAACCCTACTTTTTGTCCTGAGGATTAAACAAGCTAATCCACAAGGTCCACCAGAGTCAGCCCTCAGTGGCCGTGTGTCGGCCGGGCAAGGAAAAGAGGTCAGCAGGGCTTTGGGGAGCTATTCCCCCTGTGTCGGCTGTTATGGACTTCCCATAACGAGAAGAAGGTTGGCATCCTGGGTCACAGAAAGGGGCAGCAGAGTCTGTCCCCCAGACCCTCAGAGTCCACTGCTTCCCTCACCTCTCCCCCTGCACGTGCTGAAGCCCCATCCCAGGGGTTGGGGTGTCCCAGCCCCCCTCCCTGGGGAGGGTTTGAGTCTGACCTGCAGGCACAGGTCAGAAGGAGCCAGAGCCCAAAGCATGCAGGCGGGACAGGAGCAGTGTGTTACCGGGAGGCAGAGGCCTTGGAGACCCGTGAATGGGCCGGTACGGGTCCAGGCCGTGGTTTCCTAGAATTAGCTGGCATGGAACTCTAGCCTGCCCCTCAGGAGACCGTGGGATCCAGCAGAACGAGGTGTGACAAAGCCCCCAGGAAACCGCCCCTGCCAGGGAGCCTGCCGCAGCCCTGCGTGCACTCACATGGACAGGTTCTGGGAGCCCGTGGTGTTCCTGCTGTCTCCCTGGTTGCTGGAGAGCGGGATTGTGTGTCGTCCGTAAACTGAGCTCTTGATGGCCAGGAGGAGCAGCACCAGGAAGGCTGGGACCCCTGAGGAGGGGGACAGAGGCTCAGCACCTGTCAGGAGACCCCAGGGACGGGCCGGTTGTGGGTCCCTGGGGCTGCTGATACAGAATTCCACTGGACAAGGAGGGCAGCGAGGGAAAGGAGACTGTTCTGAGCCCCCAGGCCCTGTCACGCCGTCCAACTTCAGAGCAGTTAGCCGCAGAGAAGGCTGTTCTCCGAGGTGACGTGAGTGAGGTCTCTCAGATGGGGCCACAGTGGCAGCAGTCGTGGTCACACTGGGGAGGTGGTGGCTGGGAACTAACAGGAGAGAGGGCTGGGGAGCAGATGAGGGACAGATAGAGAGGGGCTAGGATGGTACTAGAGATGACAATGACAACAGTGCCAGAGGTGGTTATGAAGACAAGAAAGAGGATGGTGGTGTTGGAGGTGCAGGCGGTGGAGGTGACAGTGGTGTTGGAGGTGGTGATGGAGGTGAAGGTGGTGGAGGTGACAGTGGTGTTGGAGGTGGTGATGGAGGTGAAGGTGGTGGAGGTGGAGGTGGTGATGGAGGTGAAGGTGGGGGAGGTGGAGGTGGCGGTGATGTTGATAGTAAGGTAGGAAGTGGCAGTGGTAGTGGGTATTGGCAGAGATGGTGACCGGTAGTCATGGTGGTGGTCAGGGTGATGAGGAGGAAAGGAAGGAGAGGGACAGGCAGGGGCAGGTGCCCCGTCCAGCTGGAGGTCTCAGGCAGTGAGAGGAGAGGGGGCGGGGCTCACCCCAGCCCACCACGCAGAGCTTGAGCACGTATCTCCGGATGTGGATGTTGTAGACGCGCACCAGGAGGAGGTAGAGGTTGAAGCCTTCGATGGCCATCCAGGTGAGGCAGCTGAGCAGCGTGTAGTGCAGGACGGCGGCCAGGGCTACGCACGCTGACCCGGGCACGGAGGGCATGGCCAGGGTGGGGCTCAGCAGGAAGGCAACATTCAGGAGCAGCACGGAGGCGTGCAGGTTCATGTGGATGCATGTTAGGGAGTCGCCCTTCTTCCTGTGGGTGGAAGCATGGCCCTCGGCAGCCTGTGGACAACACCCAGGCAGCACTGCCCCCTGGGCTCACAGACACACAAGGACGGGGACATGGGTCTCCTGCCTTGTGGCCTCTGCCCTCTTGAGAAGCCCGTCCCGCTCTGGGGGACCAAGTGGGGAAGGAAGGAGGAGTGCTGAGCAGTGGCGGGTGGGCAGGCCTGGCACCGGGGCGGCGCATACCTGGTGAGGAAGTACAGCAGGAGAGTGATCAGGGAAGCCACGATAGAGATGCTACAGCCCACAAGGGAGATGTACGTGAGAGGCGCGAGCAACTCTGCAGGGAGCGGGTCCCGGGACAGTTGCTGTGGGAGGGAAGGGAGACTGGAGGCCAGACACATGGAAATGCCTCTCCCAGGCTCAACTGGAGACCCTCCAAGACTCCTGCTCTGAGCTTCCCCTGGCCCACAATCCTCACCATGGTCCTGGCTCAGAGAAAGCCATGGGAGACACAGTGGCTTTTCCCTCCTCCATCTCCCATCTCCCCTTCCTCTGTGAGAGCCGCCCTTCTCTCACTGTCTGGACCCAGCATGTCTCCCACTCTGTGAGCACAGGAATACCACTCCCAGCCTGCCAGAGCCCTCCCTCTTCCTGTGCACAGTGATTGGTTAAGGAATAGGTGTGTGACATACTCTAGGCTGGTGGGACTCAACTGCAAGATTCTGGCTGGCACATCTGGGTTAGAGAAGCTCTCATTCTACTGGTCTAAAAGCTAGTAGGACATGAGGCCTATTTTGGTGATATGAAGCCCCTGGATCAAGCCATGCCTGAAGCCCGACCCAGCCATGTCAGGGACATAAACTCCTAAGTTTCTTTTTTGTCCCTGTGAGCCAATTTCAGTTGGGTTTTCTATCCCCTACAACAGCGTTGGCCCTGTGTCTCTGTCCTGATTGTGGGGTGCTCTGCAGCTCTGACTGCCCTCCCCCAGGCTGTGCGCACACATACCATGAGAACAGCAAAGTAGCTGAGGTGGTTGCAGCGGCAGAGCACCTGCGAGTCTGAGGGGTGCTCCGTGCGACAGCCCTCAGGGCTCCAATCACCCCAGTGGTGCTTGCCGGCTCCCTCCTTCCAGAAGACACAGGTCATCGTGTAGCTTTCCTAAAGGGGGATGTTGGAATTGGGTGCATCCGAGGGGGTCAGGGGAAGGATCGAGGTCTGGAAACTGTGGGGGGGCCAAAGGTGACCCAACTGCACCCTTGTCAACATTTTCCTAGGCAGTGGCTGGGCATTGCCCTCAAGCGAATTCAGATTCCAGCCCCAATGCTCCTGTGGACTCTAAGAGTGACGTGGGCAAGTCACACAGATCCTCTGGGCCTCAGTTTATTTATCTGCAAAACGGGATCATTTATGCCAAGTCATAGGGATAGTGGAAAAATTAAAGGCAATGAGGCATCTTGAGTGCCCAGCTTCGGCCTACTCAGTAGGTGCTCTCTAATCAACTGTCCCCCTCTGCTGCCTCCCTGTGAGGAACAGTGGTGGGCCAGACCCTTCCCACAGGGGAGAGAGATTCATCCACAGACAACCCTGACACCAGGCCGTGTGGGAGGAAGTGTAGGGCAGTGCCATAGAAGCCCACAGAAGAAGCGGCAGCGAAGGGAAGGGACAACTGGGGCACTGAGGCCTTGGGGGACACGTTGGATCGTGGCAGAAGTGGAGCAAGAACATTCCAGATGAAGGGAACTACGGAGGCGAAGGCCCAGAGCAGTGAAAGGAAAGGTGAAGGTGAAATTGAAAGTGCAGAGAAGAGGCTGATGGGAAGCCAGGGCGGAGCGTGAAGGCCCTGGGCTTTTCAGGAATGCCAGAGACAATAAAAAGGAGGCATCGGGGCTTGCCCCCCCCCACAGCCTCACTGCCTGCTTCTCATATCAGCCTCTGCATTGCTCTTGGGGACCCGGCCCTCCCACAAGGGCAGGTCAGATAAATCCAGCTTGGTCCCTGGGCCACGTGACCCAGGCCTGGCCAATCCATGCGCCCCATTCACCTGGGCAGTGGTGGGTCAGGTGACCTATCAATCATAGGTAGACCATTAGGACTCCATTCTGGGACCCTGGTTTGCTCACAAGAAAGAGAGAAAGAGAAGAGAGAAAGAAAGACCAATACTTCAGCTGCCCTCTTGCCACAGAGTGGAGAGTCAAGGCAGGAAACCATTGCTGAGAGATGGAAAGAGACTGAGCTATCATGGCATCCTATCAGTGCCTGGATCCAGCGGTGCCTGAAGCTAGCCAGCCCTGGATATTGCATTTACATGAACCAATAAATTCCCTTTCATGCATAAGTTGACTGGAATTGGTTTTCTATAATGTGCATGTCAAAGAATCCTGACTAATACCATGAGCAAAAGCTTCTCTCTCTTATTTCTTTAGCATAAATTTTTAAAGTGTGACAGATTTAAAACAGTTCATTCCCAAGACAGTTCCACAGATTTGTGTTTGGTCAAGCTGATGTTCAACAGGACAGTTGCAAGTGGGTAGAGATGGGGTGGAAATGGGGGCGCCCCACAGTACCAGACTTTCGTTGTGCCAGAAGCTGATGTTGATTGGCTCTCTGAGGTTGTTCACGGGTTCATTTTCCAGCTGGGCCCCCAAGACATAGTTATGGAGCAGAAGTGAGTTGTTGTCATTCTGGAAGGGCGAAAGAAAAAGGGCTGACTAGAGGGGACGTGAGGAGACCTGACGAAGTCCCAGAGCCCCACTTCTCCAGGCCCTCCTTCCTGGCTGAGAAGAGCGCCATGCCTTTCCCATTTGCAACAAGGGCCACCATCCAGGCCTTTGAACATGCTGTCCCTCCACCTGGAAAGCTGTCCTCTCACCACCCTCCTGCTCCACCTCCTCTCTGTGTAACACACTTTCCACTTCACCACTACCCAAATCACTTCCAAAGCCAAGGTTAAAAGGCACCTCCTCCGGATGCCCTCCTGGACTGCACACTGGGAACAACTGCAACTCCACCCTGACTCACTCATCGCTTTGTATCTCTAGGGTTATAACCAACTTTGAACTAAAATTAAGTCTCTAAGGTCCTAGTCTAATTGTCAAGACAGAGTTCTCTGAGGAGAGGGCCCATGTGACCTTCTTGTCTGTCTCCTGCCTGGGCACATGCACAGACATAAGTAGGTTTCTTAGGTCTCATTTGCACATTGTAATTGTGCCTCCCACCATTCTGCTAAAGCTGAGGCCCAGAGAGGGGCAGTGGTGGCTCGGGTTCCACAGTGGGCTGGTCCCACTGATGCTGGTCCCCACCCAGACCCCTGGCAGTGGCCAGAGTGCCTCCAGGAAGGGACCAGGGTCCACCGTGTTGGGCCCACCATGGCACTGACCTGGAAGAAGTGGTTGGTAGAGAAGTAGATGCAGATGAGACGAAGCTGCCTGGGGCGGCGAAGCCTGCAGGTCTTCTGGGTCAGCTCCTTCGGGAACTGCATGGCGTGCCGGACCTTGGCCGCGGCCTGCAGAGGTCCAAAGGCTGAGCCTGGCGTCTAGACTGGCCCCAGCACCTTCCTTGGTCCTGATCCTTGTGAAGATCTCCCGAGGCCCTCCCAGCATTTCTTTCCCTGGAGCTTCCACTGGCAGAACCCTCCTCCAGGGCTGCGCCTGCTCCCAAACTTCCTGAAATCCAAGACCCAGGCCTTCCCCCCAGGCAGCTCTGGCCCCACCCAAGAGGACCCCGGAGGATGGAGCCTCTCCTCCTCTGCCTTCGCATGGCTCCCCCTCCCTCCAGCACCCAAACATTCAGCAGGAATCACACCAAAGTCCTCAAAGGAGCCCAGATTCCCTGGCCTCTCCCATTGCTGCCACGGGCCCCTCCCACCAGACCTGCAAAAGCAGGAAGAGGACACTGACTTAGAGAGGCCACGCACGAAGCAGCCCTCTTTCTCCAGTCACATGAGGAACATCAGTCCCATTTTACAGAAAAGGTAACTCATGGCTATTAGGACAGAGCCCCAGTTGGTGGGGAGGCAGAACGGATGGATCCTGGGGAAAGTTCAGACCTTAAACCCCTGGACGGTTTCTGGGATGGAGGCATGGGCCACCCCCCCCCCCATCTCCCAGACACCTCTGACCTGCCGTGGCTGCTCCAGGGCATCGCTGCTCAGGGACAGGCTGGCAAAGCTGCAGTTTAAGTTGAATGCCAGAGCCTGAATGGTCTCTGACTGCAAGGCGAGACTGTAGGTACCAAAGCTGGCATTCAGCAGTCTCTGCTCCAGACCGTGGATGAGCATGGGAGCTGACCTGGAGTGGGGGTAGGGAGAGAGAGGGTCTAAACAGCCTGGGTGTGTAGGGCTGCCCCCACTCCGTGTTCCTGTCACTCTCAACTCTGGGCTTGTGCACACCCAGTGTCCCTGGCATACTCTTACCTTCCCACCCTACTCACCCCCTTCTCTGATTAACTCTTGTTCAGGTCCCAGTTTGTTTATACCTCCTCCGGGAAGCCTTCCTGGGCTGCTCCCTGTTGACTGAATGAATGGGGAGTACCCCATACTCCCCAGGCTTCCATGGCTAATCATCAGCATCGATCTCTATCCAGAGCTGCTTGGCCTTTGGGTCCCAGACTCTGGAGACTCCAGCCCAAGTATTGGAGCCCCTTCTAAGACATATGCCCAGGGATCCAGATTCTGCACCTGGTTCTATGACATCCCTGGTTAAAGGCCCCCGGCCAGATGGCAAACTTGATGAGGGCAGAGACATGTGTCTATCCTACATCCCCAGAGCCTAGCGTCAAGCACATAGTAGGTACTCAATAAATGCCTGATGACTCCATGAAGTAATGGTCTACACTAGACCAGCTTTGATCCCCTGATTCCAGCGCAGGCAGAGTCTGGGAGGCACAGCTGCCTCTAGGTGGGCGAGGTAGGACCCGCAACTCACTCAGGAGAATTAGCGGTCACAATCCGTCTCTTCGTCACATCCATTCCATTCATCCAGACCCGGGCTTCTTGGACTGTCTCTGTGGGGAGCGCATCAGACATGCCTGCCTCAACCTCTCTCCACAGCTACTTCCCCGGCCCCATGGGCTGTGGGCCTTCCACCCCAGCCTGAGACTGCCAGGTCACCCAGCTGCTGCCCCGGGAGGCCCCTTCACCCTCCCCTGGTTTGAGGCCGCCCCCTTTCCTGTCACAGCCAGGGGTCTGGGCTGGGACTGCCCACACAGCTCAGCAGCGCCCTCTCACCTGTTGCCCCACTCTGAGAAGTCACAAGACACAGGCCGAGGAGAAGAGCCACATGGTAAGCCATGTCTTGAGCCAAGTCTTCTCCAAGAACCAAGTCCCACCCTGGAAAAGGGACCTGCTGTCATCATCAAGGCCAAAGAGTGACCTCGAGCTTCTTGGGGTCTGGCATGTCCCAAGGGTAGGACATACAACACCATATTTGATCCTCATTACTTCTGCATTTCCCAGATGAGGAAACCGAGGCTCAGAGAGCTAGGAGTCTTGCTTTGCTTGAGGCAGCCCAAAGCCAGGTGTCTGTAAATCCAGAATCCTTGACCAGTTAGTAGGTAAAAAACAGGTAGAGTGTTTGAGTCCCTCCACCCCCCCTCAAAAAAAAGAGTCCTGCCCTGGCTGGCATAGCTCAGTGGATTGAGGGCGGGCCTGCGAACCAGAGTATCGAGGTTCAATTCCCCATCAGGGCACACACCTGGGTTGCAGGCCAGTTCCCAGCAGGGGATGCATGAGAGGCAACCATACATTGATGTTTCTCTCCCACTCTTTCTCCTTCCCTTCCCCTCTCTCGAAAAATAAATAAATAAAATAAAAATAAAAATAAAAAGAGTCCTTCTGGGGCCTTTCCCCGAGGCCCTGACCTCACCCAGGGAAAAGTTGCTTGGGGGCAAGCCACATGGAACCCTGTCCAACTCTGTCATTAACCCACCGTGTGACTGTGGGCAAGGAGCCAGCCCTCCCTGCCTTTGTTTTCCTTGGTTTTAAAACAAACTAATCACGACTTCTGTGTAAAGGCAGCAAATGTGTGGCCAGCCCCTGCACGTCCACTAAAATGAGGGTGAGTGAATAAAATACACACCAAACCACAAAGACACATCAAAGAGAGAAGACAGCAGCGGGTGAGTGACGTCAGCAAAACCGGCGAGGCTGCAAAGCAGGTGATGGACGTAGCAGATCTTAAAACGCTGACCCCTAGTGTCTGCAGTGGGGAGAGGGGTGGGGCTGGGGGCGGACAGTGAGAAGCCAGCTCGCTCGAGCCTCCCAACCCTGAAGCACTTGAGAGGCAGAGGCCGCAGGAACTTCTGAAGGCGCGGACGGAGGGGGTGAGGCTGAAAATGAGATTATTGGCTGTGACACTTGCATAGGACCCCCTTAGCTCCCAGGTCTCTTCTGGCACCTGAGTCATCCAGAGCACCTTCCTCACCATGCTGCCAGGGTGACACAGGCGGGAGGACCTGGAGAGGCCGTCAGAGCTCTGAGCCATGCTGAGTGCAAGGTGGTGACTGGCTGCCCCTAGAGACAGACATCAGCACCCGGGCCTTCCTCGGATGAGACACCCTCATCCCACAGGTCCCCGACCTGCCGCCAGGCAAATGTCTGCTGCCTCTGGTGGATAAAAACCCGTTATGTACAGAAGATGAAAAATCTACCTGCCCCAGACCCTGCACTGACACTAGGCAAAAGCCACTTGCCACCGGCAGGGAACAGGAAACCCGCCGTGCCCACCTCTGCGATAGAACGCAGAGGGTGGCTGTTGCTGGGGAAAGGCGGGAAGCTCGTTCACACCCAAGACCCCTCCTACCCCACCAGACAGAGTTTGGTGAAGGACAGGAAGTCTGCCTGCGTCTAGCACCTGCTCCGAAGAACAGGCAGAGGCTGTCAGTCACTGAAGGAGAATCAGAGAAGCTGAGAAAGCCCCACGCCTGGGGCTCAGGCACAAGGCTGTGGAAGACCGAGGCTGGAGCAAGAGATCCAGGAATCCACAGCCTCTGCACCAGCCCTGCACCAGGGAGTGAGTGACAGCTCAGAGTTCTCAGAGGAACACTGAGAAAATCCCTGTGGGACTCAAGACCTCACACTCGGCACCAAGCAGTGGCAGTCCACCACCAGAGAAGTCTGAAGCCCGTGGGGCGTAGGAAGTAACTATGGCAACAAAATCTAAACCCAAGTCTACTGCAGACTAGACTGGCTCGGTGGCCTGTGCTACAGCCACAAAGCACGTAAGACCTGTGCCCACATCCAGGTTCAAACGGGGTCTAAGTCCCGTTTACCTCCCTTACTGCTGTTCTTCTACACGCAGTGCCTGGTGCTCAGTCAGAGGTTGTCACCCATACGTAAAGTCAGGGAAAAGGAAAGACCCATTGTAAGGAAATGAGAGAGGCCACAAAACCAGACCCGGCAATGGCCAACATGCTGGAACTACCTAAATCTGTAGCCAGAATGAGCGAGAAAAAAAGAAGGCACCATGACCAGCACCAGCTATGAAAGAGAGGCCACCACGGCAGAGCCACCTGACATTAAACATGATACGGGGATAATATTAACAATTTATGCTAATAAATTACACAACTTGGATGAAATGGAAAGATTCCTTGGAAGATACACACCACTAAAGCTTACTCAAGAAGAAATAGATAATAGTCATACTTATTTATTTATTCAGGAAACTGAATTTGTAGTTTAAATGCCTTCCCACACGGGGACAGAAAGCACAGCAGAGGAAACCTGGTCAATAACATCGTAATAACTGTGTATGGCGCAGGCAGGGGGCTGGCGTATCGGGAGGGACACTGGAAATTACATAAATATCTAACCATTATGTCGTATGCCTGAAACCAACCTAATGTTTCGTGTCCACCGGGATTGGAAAAGAACAATGAACCTTCCCACAAAGAAAACATTTGGCCTCACTGGCTTCACTGGTTCATACTTCTAAGCAGTTAAAGACGTTTTCTTTTCTTTAGTAGCATCTTTCATACACTGTTCTGCCCTTTGTTTTTTCTCTTCTTGGAAACAAAATGTGGAGAGATTTCCACAGCCATGCCCAGCCGAGGGTTGCAGGGATGAACTGTAGCGTATGGAGCCAGTTCCCTGGTGAGAGCCAGGAGTGTGGGTTCCGGCCTCTGCTCCCCCAGATGGCACAGCCACCCTCAGAGACTTCCCGCTACGTCCAGACTCATTGTCTGCCCATTTTCATATTGGGCTAGGCTTTTCCTTCTCAACTCCTAGAAGACCTTTACCTCTAGGTAGGAAAATTAGCTCTTTGTCTATCAGGTGAGTTGCAGATTATTTGCCTAATGGGTCCTTCACCTTTTGACCTTACAGATGGCCCTATAGCCAGGTGGAAGTATATATAATGTTTAGGTAATAAAATTACCAGTGTTTTCTGTTTTGGCTTCTGTATTTTGAGTAGCAGCTAGAAAGGCCTTCCCCACGCTAGCATTCTGATGGAGTTCTAGGTTTCTTCTGGGATGTTCAAAGTTTCGTCATTCGCACTGGGGTCTCCAGTCCATTAGCACTGATCCTGGAGCACAGAGATGCAGGTTCCATTTCTTTTCCCCACTGGGCATCCATTTGTCTGCACTTTGTTTATTAACACATATTGATACAGGGTGCAGCCAAGGGGAGGCCCAAAAATGATTTGGAATGGTGTCCAGAATTCAAAGTGTATAGGAATATTGGAGAGACATATAAGATGTCCTCACCCCCCCACAGGTGTGAGTTGGAGGAAGAGACACATGGAGCAGGAACATGCAGGGCTGTTTTGTACAGACACAGCCTTGCAGCTAATCCATGGCATTGTCTTTTAACATATCTATAGCCTTTGGCGGTCACTTGGATATGTTAAATGGCTGTGGCCAGGCTTGGAGCTAGGGGGATGAAGTCACTTCCCCCAAGATGTAACTAGGGGCAGGTCCCCCAAGTTACAGCGCCTGTGTGGGAGCTTGGAGAAGATTGGCTCTAGGACATGGGATGATAACTGCCCAGACTAACGATGGCAGCCCAGTAAACTTGTAATAATACAGAAATACTGGCAGGTGTAACTGATCTTGGGAGGAGTCGAAAATAGGGGTACAGAGGAAGATGGGTGCGAGGATTTAAAAGCCAGACACAGCAACCATTGAGAGGAGAGCCACACGGTTTCAGCAGAGTGCGGACCCCCTCTTGGTGAGGTGAAAGAGGGAGACACGTGGTTTTGGCAGGGTGCGGACCCCCTCTTTCCCAGTTGAAAGGGAAAACCATGCAGCTTTGCCGGAATGGAGATCCCTGCAGCCAGGTGAAGAAGAAAGCCACATGCTTTTGGTGGAATGTGAACCCCTGTAGCTTTGGTAGAAGAGGCCCACGGGGCTTTGGGGTGCCCCCTTTGGCCGTGTGGCCTGGAAAGCAAGAGAGACTTTGACTAGAACTTGGTACAAAAGAACTCTTGCCAGTGGACTGTGAGAGAGTGCCACATAACTTTGGATTAACTCGACAGCCTGCACAGTGACACAGCTGATGGTGCCAGCGGCCTGCAACACAGACGTGTGCTCTTTTCCTGATTTACGGTACCCGGAGTTGGGACAGTGGGAGAAGGGAGTGCTGTGTGGGTGTAGGTGTATACCCTAAAGGACTTTGATATTTTAGTGGAGGCATTAAGCCTAAATAGCATTAAATAAACATTTTGTTTCCTTTTCATAAATCTCTAGCATTGAGAGATGTCTTTCCAATTGGCGGCGGACAGAAGAGCCCAGTAGATATTAGTATTTTGTCCTTGGGAGGGGCCCCTGTTGTGTAGCAGTTTTTGGCGTTCCTAGGTGGGCCAAATATTGCCCCCCCAAACCTGTTGTTCTGTAACAATATGTTTACTTTTTAAAAGAGAACAGGGCACATGCCTGGGTTGCAGGCCAGTTCCCAGCAGGGGACGCACAAAAGGCAACCATACATTGATGTTTCTCTCCCTCTCTTCTTCCCTTCCCCTCTAAAGGTAAATAAATAAAATCTTAAAAAAAAAGAGAGAGAGAACAGAGACTTGGGAGTCCCGGAGTGTCGGGTCCTTATTTCTTTGGTGCCATCACCTTGGGCAAGTCACGCCCCCTCTCAGAACCCCAGAGAGGAGATAAGGGAAAAGGCTTGAGAGGAAGCCACTGAAAGAAACCACGTGAAATGTTTCAGGTGAGAAAGCCGAGGACCTGATAGTGCAGAGATGACCTCGGGCTGTCTTATCTGCTCTCTCACGCTGCGGATAGGGAAACTGAGGCCCAGAAGGTGGTGCAGATTTGACCTCCAGGGTCTGGACCTTAAGGTCGGGTACCAGGCAGACAAGGAGAGAAGCAGAGACCAACCTCAACGCCCAGCTCGGGAAATCAGGCCAAAGCAGAAGTGACGCCTCTCCGGGCGCTCCAAACAGAAGCCGTGGTTTCCCCTCTGTTTCCCAGGAGCAAACCACCATCTTCACTTCTGCTTGCAGTACCCAACATCCCTGCCTCCATCCCTCCCGAGGCCACCACCCACCCACCGTTACCACCGACATGTCACCCCACAGTTCACAGTGTAGGGCCCTCGGGAAATGGGAACCCCTGACCTGACTTCCAAAACGGTTCCAACTGACCGTGGGAAAATGGATGGCCACCCCGGGGGTATGCCTGGGTTTGTACAGCAGCCCAGCGGTCAAACTGGGACTCCAGCCAGCCCAGGGCTCCAGTGTCCGGGTCAGATGC